AGAGCGTGTACCGATCGTTCGGGTGAAAACCCACCGCCTTGTTGGACTAATAAGAGTAGAGCTCCTTCCTCGCTCTTTAAAGAGAAATTTCAATGAACACTTCTGTTAGGGGCTTGCAAAAGTTCTTCGAATCGTCGATGATTAGATTGTAGCTCGGAGGAATAATTTTACGGACGCGGAATCAGCCAATTACCGGAAAGGTGGCGGAAAGTGGTAGCAGATATTTTTGATTGAAAATGACATATACCGTTGCGGTACTATTAATAAAAAAAACAAATCCGACAAACTTTTGCGAATCTCCGACATTTGTCTTCGTATTCCTGGCTTGATCGATGGGGGATCGTTGGATAATTTTAGCTTTATTTTGGATTACATATATGGTTTGTAAATACGTATAATATGCACATTTGATATGCTCGCGACGTTTATATTTCCGAATTTCCGACGACGAGGGAGACGGAAAAAATTGTCCCCACTCCGGGTGGGAATCGAAATACATTTTCTTATCAGGCATCTCTTCCTCGTCCGATTTCCGCGGGAACACCGATCGCCAAAGCCAATATCCTTACGTTTTACCAAAGCTCAGAAGCTGCGACCTGCATCCCGGAATAATATCGGCAAATCGAGAAATTTTCCGTTAAGATACGAGCGGGTGTACATCGGGCGGGCGAGCGACCAAAGAACAATAACGCCGAGGAGGAATTTTTATTTCCGGTCGGATGCGTACCACCGGCTACGGTTGAATTTACATTTTCGTTGGCTGCGCATCGAATCATCGTTTCCTTTTTTTCGCCGCGGTCGCGAACAACGCGCGCACGCGGTCTCGTGATTCGTCTGTATTGAAGCGTAAAAAGCGTCGGTCATGTACGTGCACGGCTACACGCACGCTTAGCCGAAATTCCGGACAAACCACCGCTGGAATTCCGATGAAATACACGCGAGAAAAACACCCGTATACCACACAGTTATAATATTAAGATACACGAATCTCTGTTTTATTCGGGCGATGACAAGCGCCATAAGTTTTTGCGCAATGAATAAATATGAGAAATGAAAGTTAAATCAGAATTACGGGGGCAAACAATCGATACGCACCGTAATTTGCATTAACTCTTTCTTTTTCTCGCGGAGTGCGTCACATTTTCTTCGTGTCTCTGTACAATCGGGAAGTAACTATTGTCTTACTAATATTATTCTTATCACCGTCACATACAGTCGACAATCACTTTAAATATATTCAATTTAAGCATATAATTACCCGATAAACTTACAATTCAATAACATGCAGCGAACTGTTCTCCGAAGTTTTATAATAGATCTAAATTAGTCAGGATTTGATTATGGCCGTCATATTCGCGGTCTGGTACGTTCGTGAATTTAAATTTACGTAACCATTGGTTTGGAATACAGCGTTTTTTCGAAGTTAATTACGACTGAAATATATCCGCATTCTAGAAACTCAATGTGAGCTTTCCCGATTATTTTTATAATGATACAAACAATGATGTTCCAAACGAAAAGTTGAATTATATGCATACGTGTGTATCTTAGGAAACCAGCACAAGGGTGCGGAAAATAGTTTGAACGAGAATTAGAAAGTCCATAGAAATCGCTGGGAAAGAAGTATTTGCATAACGGTGATCGTCTGACCATATTTCAATAGCGATGAGAAATGAATGATTATCAAGTTAAGTTTATGACGTGCAGCCGAGTAATTATTCTCGGTGTTTAGCAATGAAAACTTTGACCTGGTCAAAATAAATTCATTGACGAGGCACATGTAAGGCGTTCCGATCCGAAAAAAAGATTGGAATTTTAATATGTCGACTTAGCGGTATTTTTCTTGGCCGGTTATATCTTGATTCGCGGGGATGGAATCCCCTTATAGCGCTGTTGGGCGAATAAAAGGAAACTATAAAAATCTCGTTGCGGCATCGATGAGGATTAAATACTGCGGATTTTTCTTCGATAATACGCGGAGCCCACCTCGACGGGCGATCCTCGAGACCAGAAGAATGTAGAAATACGTTAAACGCGATAAAAAATTTTTTCGCGCGTAAATGTACCCGTTAACGACGTCAAGCGCAATTTTAGAGAGATTGCGAAATAATTCGGATTCTCTGGCAATGAATGCAAAATTACGTCACAAACGAAGTTCAAAGAGATATAAAGTATATCTCGCCCGTGTTCCGCTGTACAGAGATAAAAAATATATCTTTGTAATTTATACTCGTCGTACGTATTTAGATCGAAATTAGAACTTTTATTCGTGTCTCAAAAAATTGGCGAAATTAACGTGAAATTAAATTCTTCTCTCCTTTTGTATCCCGTTATATCTCGCTGACAGTTATCCTCTTTATATTAGCTGTGACATTTGCAGGTCAATCGATTATATGATCTCTATTAAATTACGCGCGCAATCAATAATTAATCGAAAATTATATGTTCGCGCGTATAAAACGACACACATGGTCGATAATAACGTCTCGACTCCGCGACAATTACTTCCGTTCTGCGCAGACCCAAACACGGTAAGCGGCGAATAGAATGATCGTAGAGTAATAACGTTGATCTCAGTGAGAAGGCACGAGGGGTGGTTTAAGTGCGTGTTTAGCGGTTGCGATCCCCGGTGGCCTTTCCGTGGGACAGTAAAGGGCACTAAGGGGCAGTATGAGGCTCGTAAGGAGGAGTAGTAGTGAGAGGTGTGCCGTTGCGCGTACTCAGACCACGATATAAAATCACTCCGCGCCCAAGCGCCCGGCAAAGTATTGTCCGATATCTTCGGCCTCACGAATGTGGGAATCTTTAAGAGAAACACGATCGATCTCGTTTCTAATTCCGATCTTTGGAAGAGGTAAAAATTAAAACGTGTTTTTAGAATAATTATGAGTCGCGCTCTCATTTGTTTCACGATAAATGTTTATTCCGAGCTTTGTCTTGTATGTACGACGCCTATATAGTTTCGATTTGAGGGTCACATTCGGTTGTTGCGCTTAGCGTTTCCTTAGAATGCGAATTTTTCTATGTGGACAATATTGAATGGATAGGCTAAAAAGACGAGAAAGAAAGAAGATAAAATAAGTAATACGGCGCTTAAAGTCGGAAAGAACAGAAATGTATTATATAAGAAGAGAAAGGAGAATTATAATCATAGTTGAGAATTGTGAATGGAGCAGAGGTCTATTGCACCTCGCGAAAGAACACTAAATTTACCATTACTGTCGCTATTACCTACTATAATATGCTGCTATTATTATTGATAGTATGACGTGTTAAAAAATTAAAAACAATCTTTTCTACTCAAGCAGGGATATGAATCAATTTGCATCGTCGTCGAAATTGTGCTATCGAGACAAATTTTAACATTTTACGTACATCAAAATTTACTGAAGAAATTAATACTTATCTTAAGAAATATTGGAAAAATATTTACACAATTGAAATTAATGCAAAAGGTTAAATTATAATTTAAATATCAGTGTCAACCTTACTTTTCGGAAATAAAGCATTTCTTATATTTCCATGGAATGATAGGTAAACTAAATAGAAAGTAACATTCAAATTTTAACGATAACCATAGTAAGCTTGAAGAAAATTCTAGACGCGTTAAAAAAAGAAAGTGCGCCTCGCCAGCAGGCAACGACCGAATTCTTCAATTTGAGTCTTAGTAAACGAGATGACGATTATTCGAGTGGCGCGACGTATAGCACGAGGAGACGAGCTGGCACGGAGCCAAAAAGTGCCAATTCAATCTTACTTCCCCTTCCGGATGTAAAATTTCAGGTAGCCGTCGAACTTTCGACTTCCATCGCTCGTCCTAGTAGCACCGAGATAACGTTGTGTAACTATATATTTTCGCTTCACTCACGAGTACGTACGGCATTATAATGACTCAGTTTCCGAGGTTCTTTAATAGCTCAACATTTTTTTTCATATTCTCTATATATCATATACTTCTTCTAGAAATTTTTTTTTTTTAACAAATTAGATTTTCCCAGGACTGTCAAAAGTTGCAACGAATGCTTCAGATGAGTATGAAACTCATTTGTGTCGCGTCAGAAGTGATGGTAGAAAATGAGATAAAATATATCCGTGTTTCCCTTGCAGAGAAGAAGCAGTTTTAATAAGTAGTGGTATGAAGAATAATACAATGACCACGAATAGACACATGTACACCTAAAGTTATACAATTGCATATCACATTTTAGAATTTTGCAATTGTTATTGCTATCCTCACAGTTTTGGTATTACGCGAATAACCATTGGTCTTAACTATTTGGTAAACATTAGTAGTCGAACGAGGAAATATATAAAATATAACATGCAATATGTATCTACAGCGTCATTAATTTATTTTGTGTACGATAGCAGCTGAGTGAGATGAGTGCGCCAGATGAGAAAATTATTCAAGATCCTTGAAGATATGTATTCCTCCTCGCCCTCGATTTTTCTCTAGCATCCCGCGCTTCGAATTTAATGAGGTTCTTTATTGATGAATGGCATTTATCAAAGTATCTTACGGATCCGACTACGTGTTTCTAACGATATCACGTACTTATGATCTTCTACTGACACAGTTTCCCGGCAAGATTTGAATTTGGAAAATTAAGAAACACGAAGTTAGAAAGATATACTTCGATTTTTTAAATCTTATTTAAAAGTGAAGAAATATTAATTTTTAATATCTAAAGAAAAGATGGTGGGAGCTACTTTTTAGACACAGAATCAATCAAGTGCCAGTGGAAAATCACTTAATATTTTTATCATTAAGACTTCGGTACTCGTTTATTTTAATAAAAATAATTAAATCTCTAATCTTAATATTATTTGTAATGTAATCTAGTATATATAAACTGCCGTAGTCATTATTGATTTATTAATTTTTTAAATACTTTTTATAATACACTTGTTAAATTGGTGAAAATTACGATTTTCAATACACGAATAAATTAACATTATAGCACAATGATAAAATATAACAAGTTGAGTCATGTACGTACCTTAAACGATCCGAGATCTTTTACACTGCATGCCAATTTGACATTTCGCCCTGCTGGTACTGTAATATTCCCTATTTCATCCACGAACTCAGGATCAGGGATGGTGGTAACTGAAAAAAATAATAATTCGTACAGAAAAGTATCATTATACAGAATGCGGCAGGAAATGCGATACAAAATAAATCCTTGTTAACATAAATTGAAATTTTGGAATAAATCTGTTTCTCGTACGTGGCTTTATCGAAGAGTTCAACAAGCACTTAGAGAACACCTTAGCTTCTTACAACAAATGACATTTTGTCACCGACTGCTCGAAGGAGGTGCCACCGACAGTATGTATTTGCGTCATACGTTCTACGGACTGACGAAGCAAAATTTAGCAAAGATGAAGCTTTCACCTTCCGTAATACATTGGTGGATTTCGCAGAATCTCCATATTTCTCATGAGACACACTTTCAAGAAAAATGGTCCTTAAATGCATAGACAGGATTAGAATAATATCGTATAATAGAATCGTATTTTCTACCAAATAATTTTACTGCATTATTTTTGCGCGTTTTACGCATGAGCAATTATCTATGCCAATGGAATACGTGATTTACTAGAAAGAAATTAATTTTACGATATGATATAGCCTTCAATGGTGTTTTAATGGAGGTATAAAAATAATCTGTTAAATTATGGATACGTTTTTTGAATTGGCCGTGTAATAATAACGTAGTTTTCAGTTAGCATCCAATTATCTGATCTTGCAATGTTTAATTTTTATTTGCCGAGTCATGTAAAAGACTTCTTCTATAGAAATACTCTAAATTTTGCTTGTATACAAAAAATATTATTAATATTTGAATACAAGCAACATTTCAATTTACATTAATGCGAATATATAAGTAAAGAGCACGATTATATATGTTATGCATTCAATATATTTTTCACGCAATGAAAAAATCTATTTACTAGAAATATAAGAAAAAGAACGTCACGAATATGTCCAATTTTCTCGGAATATTTTTATCGTATTATCTCGTATACCTTGCATACGAACGTGAATAGAAGTAGTGATCCGTAACGATCTTGTCGAATCGTGCCACAAGTATTGTACTTGGCGGAACAATTCAAACAAACAAAGGATGTCCTTTCTTATTTGTTATAAATAAAGTCGCATGTAAAAGAACATATTCGAAAATTCCGACTTATTCTTCGATAATTATACATCAGCGATTTTTAGGATAACGAAATATTTATACAACATATCTCCCTCTTTCTCGTTATACGGATGGAATAAAATATCCAAAGTAGCGCAAGTTGTCGTGTTTCTAATTTGATACTGAGAAATGCATTTCCTAGACAGCAACGAAGCGATACCGCGTATAAATTCGTTTCTGTGACACAACCATTACGAACACGCATCTCGTGCACGCGCGTTCGCGCAGCACTTTTGTGCAAATGCGGGCCTCACGCACGAAATAACATTACGCGACGGGGAAACGCGGTCGTGAGTAACCGGGACAGATGGAAGAGAGCTCGATCTCCATAAGCATCTCGAAATCCTCTCGTAGATTCGATCACCGCATGCCGTACTCCCGAAGCGGGTCGGGCAGGACGATTGCTTCTGTGCGGGATATCGCGGAATGTAGGGACTTGAAAAATTGCATTTTGTATTCAATAACTAAGCTGTCACGCCGACTGGTGAGCTTCTATAACTCAAAGCGCATCCACGCAGCCACGCGTGCACCGCCCTTAGATCGATCCAGTTCCCTTTCCCGAAGTAGGCAACGTGGGGAATGTACGCCTCCACACTCGTCGAAACTCACTGACATTGTACGATTTCAAAAATTCCGCCGTCCAACTTTTGTATCGGACTTCGCTGATTGAGTTCGCCCGCCGTCCTGACAATGTCTAACAGATCCCGAAACTATCTCCCGCTCGTCAAATGAGTTTAGTCCAAGATTCCGTCGCATGCCGAACATTATATACCAGCTCCAGCTCGAAATTTGATTAAAATCTGGCGTGACAATAATGGATTACCTTGTGCAAATAGTATGTTATATGCGTATGTACTGAGTGCGATATTCATTTGCATACGATTCCAATTATTTTGAGCCTCGGGCTGATTCGATTGTCACAGTTTGATTACTTTTTCGAGAGTAAGAACGACGCATAGGTGTTAGTTTTTCATTCTTTCGTCGTCAGTAATACATTATGATACTTTTTGGAAGATTCGACGAAAAGTTAATCTTGAATCAAATATTAATGTGAACCAAAGAGTTTGACTGAAAATAAGCTTGTTTTTTTCAAAGATTTCTTTGGTTTCGTTAGATCGGATAGTATCGAAAGTTCCGAAAACATATATTAGTATTAAGTGACAAATATTGACAATTTATTTTGACTATCATTTATAATTCAATCCCACGAGAGATTCCTACAGATAATTAAATAATTCCATCACAAGATGCAAAGTGGAATATTTTATAAATAAACTCTCGAGTACAAATCAAGACAGATATAGCTATGATTCTTCGATTCATTGTTACTGATTGATTTTCGTCCATTATTCTAAATGTACCACACTACTAATAGCTACGCATAACTACACATATGCGTGGTGACGCTGAATTAATAATTATATTGCGTCAAATTGAATGCGAATCACCTTGGATACAACTGGTGTGTCACTTCAAATCCTTTCTTATAAATATGAGTTAAAGCGAAGTATACACGCTCATGAGAGTGTAGTCACCATCGATTATGTGTGTGCACGTTAGATGACTTTTAAAGGTGAATCGGAGTGACTCCCGCTTGCCAAGGTGTGTGCTACTAGAAAATTCTCTTTGGGCTCCTGCCATCGACTCTACTATCTGGTGGTCTAAAGCGGCCGTGAAGCGATGCACATACGTGGTTCGCTAGCTCGGACTATGCGGAAACCACATTTTCAACTCGCCAAATCTTCCTATCTACGACTTTTCCGATCGCGTTCCACGATATGATTTGTCCGACGCGAAATATCTTTTAAATCATTCGTTTCATTGCCGAATCATTGTTTCTTTATTTCGTTATTCACTTCTAATATGAGCATCGCACAACAGGAGTTGCGCACTGAGAATTTCTCGAATTGTTTCATTGTTCGCATCTGCTCCACTAAAGCGTTACTCTGGTTTAAAGATCCGCTGACTGTCAAACTACTAATCGCATGAGAAAAGCAATTCAACAAGTGGTGCCGTTGATAATTGATACAGCATCACGGTATCTGTCATTGTCGAGTGTGGCTTCAGAGCACGGAAATCAGGATATTCAGGGTATTATCAACACCAATAAATAGAATTTTTCTTATATCTTAAATACGTTCATAAGTACGGTTGTTCCAGATTAATTTTCTTCCTCTTTACTAATGAGTAAGAAAGTTGCTTTTTTCTCTTACCCTTCTCGTTTTATAAATTTAGAAATAGACTCGATTTTCGTAAGATCGACTCTCCTCAATTCATCAAAAGATAAGTTGACAATAGACTTATTAAATTCAGGCTTGCTTAATACTTGTCGTCTCAGGAATCTTAATGAAAAGACTCGGGTTTCTTTTCATGAAGGATACCAACCGATGTCATTTAGCTTCCTTCATTAACTTGTCGCGCTTCAAGTATGTCAATACACTTTTGTATCGTCATGTCTCAATTTTGATTGGAATCTGGTACTAAAGCTGAAATATATATTGGTCAAAGTCTTCATATAATTAACTAATTAACATGATTAACTAAGAAATTAATTCCTCTTTGATCAATATTACATAACAATATACGTATTTACATGTATATAATCGTCATAATCGACATTATGTGATACAGGGTCAACAGGTTACTCATAAAAAATAAAAAGGTTCCCGGTCTTCATACTTTATAATATAGCTATATTTCATTGACGAAGTCGCGATGTTATATCAATTATCTGCGGCAACACTGTCGAACTACTTTTCTGATATAAATTGTAGCAATTTGCTTACTTCATCATATTTGTTTTAATAAAAACTATAGATAAAAGAAAAATATGTTTCAAATGATTAACATATAGATGTAATTTGCTGATCTTAGAGTTTCTACCAAATACATTTCTCTTACGCTTCTCAAACGCAACGGATAAGAGGCTAGATCAGTAATTTTCGTCGTATTATTTGCACAAACTTTAATCTCAACATGTAATTGGAAGGATGTATGAGAAACCTAAAGGAAAATAACTTGCGGAGTCGCACAAAAGCGTACTTACATACGCCTTCTATACACGTGTGCAAATGTCATTGGATACTTTTCATATAAGACGGAGGTGATTAAAGAGCGAGCGATCTCTTCATTATAGGTCGAGTGCCCGTGCGAATTTTAATTAATATCTGCAGCAAATCCTTAGGGAGAGAGAAAGAGGGAAGGGAAAAGGAGTTACGTGTGATGCGTACTCGTATATATTAAGAAACTTGAAGTGATGATTACTTTGATGATCCAATAATTATGTAACTTAGTGTAAGAATCTCTAACATTTCATCTTCTTTTTCATTATCAGAGGAACCTTGTTAAAACGAAATGATAGAAGTACGTAGAAAAATTTAAGTCTGGGAATAAGATACATAATGACGGGATAGATAAGCTAGAAAGAACTTGTTTATTATGTGCTTTTTATTTGAAAACAAAAATTGTAAATAATTCTTGGGAAGGGAAAACTGTACTTATTAAGAGAATAATTGGAATTTTTATTTTGTTTACTTTAATTTTATGGTTTTTTCATTAATATTGTTCGCTAATAAACGAATTTTGAAATTGCTTGCAAATATCAAAAATGATTGCAAATATCGAAACGCTAATGTATCACAAACAAATATACAAAAGATGCAAAAATATAAATTGTATATAAATATATATATATATGTATATTGATAAATACAAGTAGATATAATTGAAGGAGGATTTTTGCAATTATGGTATCTTATCTTTCGAATTACGGGTCATTAACGGTTTTCGAAATAATGAACGGCAATATGGCTAATATGAAGGAGTTAAGTAACGTCGGGTAAATTTCAAAGACCGCACTTATCTCGAGTGTGTCTCGCGGTGACTTGTAGTATAAGAGGACCCC